ATCTAGGTCTATAAAAATAACTCAAAATAATATCACAATAATTTTTTAATATTTTTGTTATTATTTTATTATTATAATATAATTAATTTTGATATTATTTTAATATTTTAATCTCAAAAATACCTCAAATATATCTTGATATATTTTAAAAATTTTACAAAATAATTGTATAATTGTTTTGAAAGCCATTGTATTTAGGTTTATAAAAATATTTCAAAAAATTGGCCATTTTTAGTAAAGTAGCGTTTTTTCAAAATTACGCTACGATATAGTAACAATTCATATACGTAATCATCACAATATGATAATACTTTACTAAAAATGGCCAATTTTTTGAAATATTTTTATAGACCTAAATACAATGGCTTTCAAAACAATTATGCAATTATTTTGTAAAATTTTTAAAATATATCAAGATATATTTGAGGTATTTTTGAGATTAAAATATTAAAATAATATCAAAATTAATTATATTATAATAATAAAATAATAACAAAAATATTAAAAAATTATTGTGATATTATTTTGAGTTATTTTTATAGACCTAGATACAATATAATTACAAAATAATAACAAAAATATAATAAAAACATTTTGATGTATTAAATGTATTTTTGTGGTATTTTAAAATTATTACAAAATCATTTCAAAAAATTGGCCATTTTTAGTAAAGTAAAATTATAATATTGTATTAAATGCATTATATTAAAGTACTTTATACAGCAGTAAAATAAAACTCATTTTTAATCCAACAACTTTCTTCATTTTCCTCTTGTTCATCTATCTCATTGCGTACAAAGTGAATCTTATTTGCTTGATCAATAACAGTTATCAAAAAAATTCTTCTCCACTGTTGATCGTTTGCAGAAAGAAGCCTAAAAAGTGGACATTTTAAAATAACGTGATTTTGATTAATTTCTTCAAACTAAGTTACAATGATAAAAGCATAATACTTATTATCATTTGCTTTATGTCGAAAAATTGATTGGATCCGTCATAGCAAATGATTCACTATATTCTTCATCTTGGATCGTTACCACATCACCAAGTTTTAGGCAAACCTTTTCTTTATTTCCAAAAGCATTTTCTGTAACATAGGACGCCATTTCATACCAAGTTATTGATGAATTGATTAATGCCGCGTGGAGACCAATTTCATTATATGATATAGATAATTCAGTTTTAAAATGACTATTTGATGGAAAAAACTTGACGAATTCTTTGATATTTTTCAAAGAAATTCTTTTCTTTAAGTGAATGTTATAAAAGTTGCCCATTGATAATTAAACTAAAAGGAAAAATTTTTTAAAGATTATATAACTAAACAATAATAGTAAAATTATATTTTACCCGTTAGTACCTCATCGATATAGTCTGTTTCATCAAATAGTCTATCTTTGGTAACAAACCAATTGTTGAATAACTTTTCACAGGCGCTTTTTTTTAATCCAGTGTATCCATCATGAGATCGTGAAAATCTTTTATCTATTCCATCATCTGTGAGATGCCGAATTGCAAAACTTGTATTATAACGTTTCAATAGATCCAAATCTACTTCTTTGCGATTGGTATTTGGTACCATTGATTTAAATATCTTGTGTACTGTTTCTTTTATTCCTACTTGAGTATTTCTTAATGTTGCGTATGTGCGAGCATGGAGGCAAAGATGAAAATTAATGTGAAGATTAGGTAGATTGACAAATTCTTCAAAAACCTATAATAATTTATTTGTTAGTAAATCATTAATAATAACATAC